CATTAGATGACCTTGGAACTAGGTTCCAAACCCCCTGCCTTTGGCCATATCATCTAACAGCCACCTAAAACAGGTCAGATTGCTTTGAAGAATCACAGAGTGGCTGAGGGACCTCTAGAACTCATCTTGTCCAACTCACTTGAGCAGGAACACATACAGCCCATTCAGGACCCATTCATGTACAGGACCATGTCTTTTGAATATCTCCAAGGATACCTGTGCCAGTGTTCAGTCACTCACACAGTAAAAGCATTTCCTTATGGTCAGACAGCACCTCCTGTGTTTGCTTGCACCTGCTGCCTCTGGTCCTAAGACTGGGCAACACCAAAAAGACCCTGGTTTTGCTGGCAACATGCTGTTGAACTTCAGAGGCTTGTAAATAACTTCTTACCACTATAGCATTGCTACACTAGAAATTAATGGGATTGCTTTCTGCACAAAGTTCTATGGCATTACTACATTAGAAATTGAGATTGCTTTCTGCACAAAGTCCATGTAAGCACTGTCTAGGTTCTACTGAAAATATTATTAGAAAAAAATCAAGGCTTCTATATAGCAAAAGGTGCCTTTCATTTACTGTTAAGGCTGTTAGAATTCAAGAATCAGCTACTGCCATGTCTTTTGCTTAAGAACAGAGTGTTCATGATTTAGGGAACTCCAAATATTTATTATACAACCAGCGTTTTTTTTTTTCCAATTAATGAGGTATAGAAAAAGTGAAATAAATCTTTCTTGATGTAATTTTCAAGTTCAGAAAATATTTACATCTGCGGGAAGCTGCATTACCTTGATCTAGCTTCAATTTCTGATAAAGAACTACCACCCAGATGATTGCATTTTTTCTCTACAATATTTCTTCATTTAGACGTCAGTTTCACTTGAAAAAAAAAGCATATACTTTTTTTCTTCTCTCTTCATTTTTGGGGGACAAGTTAGAAAAAAGCCAGATTAAAAAGAAAAAGAAAAATTAAATCCAAGGCCAATGGGTATCTTTTACTGAAAAATGCACTTTGGCCTTCAAGGAAGAGTTTCACAAATTGGATGGGTCATTTAGGGGTACATTCCAGGTTCTCCTCATCTACCACACTGGCTTTCTTAGTAGCACAAAAATCAATCTTAAATCATGATACACAGGAGAGACTGTATATTTCAAGGGCATAGAACAAGCTGATGAATATAATTTAGCAAATAGCTCCACTGGAGGTCAACAGTAAAGCCATTGCATTAGGTGTTAGGGCCAGACGGCTCCATAGACATTAACTGCCACATGAGCAGAGTTTTAGAACTATCTCATATATATATATATATCATAGAATCATAGAATAGCTAGGACATTAAGATCAGGTTGTTATATCAGATTGTTATCATCTGATTTCATATTAATTCAGATATAATCCCACATTTTGGAAAAACAAGTAATTTCTTCGTTCTCCAGCAATTTACAATAAATTGTTCTTAAATACACACCACTGAATATTTTTCTCACCTTCTCTATTTGCTAACTATATATGGATCATGGTATTCTGCGCATTTGTAGCAGCTAATATCTTGAGACTAAATATGTTTCATACTTTCAAATTCACTGCAGTGGAAAAAATGCTGTAGATGTATTTGTAATAATTTCACAAACATTACAGCCATTCCACCTCTTTTGTGGTTTACTGCTGTATCTGCCAGTAAAGCTGATACTGCAATTTAACCTCTTGAAGTATACATTTCCAATGCTCAATGATCCATATTAGTGAAACTATCAGACCAGGAGGAATAAGACAATCTGTATCATGCAGCTCACCAATATATACATGGAACCACTAATGGTATTCCTATCCTGACCATCTTCTTAGAAGATGGTGTAAACAGTAGGTGGCTCATATTGCATTCTTAATCTCTCACTGGGGTGAGCAGGAGAAATTAATAATAGCCTCATTATCAAAGAGGTAAAGTCATCCTTCAAGTTTCAGAAAAACTTTCAGGCTTTTGCACGAAAAAAAAGCAAAAAAATTTTGAAGCTGATATTGTGAGTGCTATTACACTTGTCAATAAATCAAGACTTTGGGAAAAGTCAATTTCAACAAACAGAAATATGTATGTTGTTACACAAGTTTTGATCAAGGACATAGAATGAACTTTAATCTATTTTAGAATAAATAGACACAATAATATATTGTCTTTGGCAATCTAACAGAGGATTAGATTTTTTGCAATATTTTCTATGATAGTTCAGTTTATTTTTTTCCCAGTTCTTTCAGATGTTCTTTATAAAACTGTCTTTATCTCTTTCTTTATCACCTGTTCCATCCCCCATAATTCCCCATAGCCTTTTCAAAGTAATTTCTTAAGGAACCATATTTAACAAAGAAGTCAAGTAACTTCTGGCACCACTTTTTCTCGATTAGAGTATGCTTTATTTATTTTTTGGAGGCTACAGTGAGTTTTTCCACCAGGAAGCATGTGCATGTAAGCTCCTTGTGCTAAACCAAAAGTAAATTCCTTGTTAGCTTTGGGGGGTACAAAAGTAATTGAAATAATAAAAGAATTTCAAGAAATAATCTCATTTGGCTCAGTCTGGGTAGCTGTGTTCTCTGCTCTCAAGAAGACTCTAAAGCTTTACAAAGTTTTGTACAAATTACATGTAACTTTGTTCCTAGTACATCCTTTCCCAGGGTCAAAATAAATTTTGTTAAGACTTTGTGGAGATTTATCCTTGATTTAATTTTTCTTTGTTCCATTGTTAAATTCAGGGTTTGTAAATTATACTATTTAGCTTATGGTGCTAGATTGTGCCCTGCACATTACAACACAGGGAATCATGAAATAAAATAAGATCTGGCAACAAACTGCAATTTTCATATGCTTACCTGGTTTATACCAGTAAACCAGGATACATTTGATGTTGGAGTCTTTTGGATTCAGGTATGACCTGAGTCAAATTTGTCGAAGGCCATCAGCATTTTTGAGTTTGCAGTTTTGGATTTGACAAAAATCCAGAGGAAATGTGGAAAATATAAAATTAATTATGTGTCCACATGCAGCATTGTGTCTTTTTTACTGAATGCAGAATCTAGAAATGATTATGTTCCCCAGCTTTGAATCAAGTTATTTTTTCTATATACTGAACTTATTGATATAGAATAAGGTATTTAAGTAATATGGGGTCATTTAAGTAACCTATTAAGACTAAATAATACAGGAATTCTGTAGCTATCTAAAAATTATTATGAATCAGTTCTGGATACAAGTATTTTAAGACTGAAATTAAAATATTCTGTGGTATGGAAAGTCATACACATATCCCTAACCCTGAAACATTTTAAAAGAAACTACCCTTATTCATGACTTAATGTTATCAATAAAATTGTTATCAGGGTATGTGATTAAAGGATTAATAACTGTCTTCTAAATATACTGAAGGCTGTTGGGTTTTTTCTCATTTTATTTCCCAGCCCATTATTTAGGAAAAAAAGAAATATATATAAAGATATATATATAAATATGTATAAATATAAATTTATATATATAAATATATATAAAATTTCGTTTTGTTGTTTAAGAAATATATGTTCCTGCTAAAAGAGAAACTGAACTGTGATTACTTTTAATACTTAAACATATAGAAATGCATTTCCAAAACAAATACTTCTTTGTCATGTAAACATTCATCTACCAAAATTATGTCTATGTGCTTAGTTAGAATCATACAATCATAGAATAATTTGCTACCACGGGCAGGGACATCCCCCTGGGCTTCCTGGGCACAGGCACTGCCTCAGGGTCAGCAGCCCAAAGGCTTTTCTCTAAAGGATGCTGGGTGAAGGGGCAGCAGCAGCAGGGCTGCGGTGGGCAGGGCTGTAGGCTCCCTGTCACCCCTTTGTCACAGTGCCAGCACCCGGCAACGCAGCATCACAGTGCTCTGGGGCTGTAGAAGGCAGCGTCGCCCCCTGTCCCACTGCCTGAGTGCTCGGCACTGCCACCAGGACAGGGCTGGCAGCCTGAGGGCATCCGAGGGGAAGTGCTTGGGGCACCGGGAGAATGACTGGGAGGGGGGAGGGGGCTGGTGGGGGGAACACTTGAAGCTACACGAAGCTGCAGGAGGTTCTGTGCTGCAGTTCCAGCTCCTGGAGGGGCCACGCTCAAATCTCCTTGGATGGATGGATGGAAATCCTTCTCCAGCTGCCGGGGCACCCACCCTCCTCATCTGCTGGGCACTGGGGAATTGCCTGTCGGGGTGCTGAAGGAGGGAACACCTGGAGCTGCACAAAGCTGAGGGAGGTTCTGTGCTGCAGTTCCAGCTCCTGGAGGGGCCACACTCAAAGCATCATTGAGGGCTCCTGCCTCAGTCATCGGGAAGCTCATTGTTCTCATCGCCCAGGGAGAGAGTGGCAGTAGCCAGAAGAAAAAGGATTCACAGATGGTTCCGTGCCCTCTCCCAGTGCTCTCGAGCTCCCACTGCCAAGCACAGGAAGAATTCTTGCTCCAAGGATTCACCAGGCCAATGGCATTTTGCTCTTATTGGAAGCCCCTGAAATGGCTCCGGGTGGAAGCAGAAAAGGCAGTGCCAGTGTCCCCTTAGAGGGGTAACCAGCGTGTGGACCAGGAGCAAGTCTTGCTCACATGCTCAGGGAGTAGCTGATCGCCAGCACTGGGGTCAAGAAGGAATTTTCCCCCAGGGGCAGATTGGCACCGGTCCCCGGGGGTTTTTTGCCTTCCTCTGAGCACTGAGCATGACCACTTGTCAGAGCTCCTCTGGTCCATTCTGGCTGCGTTATGGCCTGGTGCTCATGCTCCACGAAGGTGACCCCTCGTGTCCTGCAGCTGGGGGGGGGAAGGGCTTTTTCCCCCCCAGACTGCACTAGCAAGTGTCCCTGGGGTTTTTTGCCTTCCTCTGCAGCCTACCACAGCCCCTTCATGGGGCTCCTTTGGGTCATGGAGTCCCAAAGGCAGTGGCTCGTGCTCCACGCAGGTGGCCCTCTTGCCCTGCATCCGGGGGGAGGCAGCCTTCAGCACTCTCAGGGTGGCCCCAGCGTGGCCCCGGGACTTGCTGCTGTCCTCTGTAGCATTGAGCACCACCCCTTGTCAGCTCTTCCCTGGCCCTTTCTGGCTGGGTTCTTCTTGCACTGCTCTCCCACTACCACGGCACCGCTCCTGCCCTGCCTTTCCTTTGTCAGGCTGCAAGGGATGTTTTTTCCAGCTAAACTGAAGGCTCTAAACTAAAACAGACAAAAATTAACTAAGCTAAACTAAATCAAATAACTTCATTTAGAAATAAATAAAATACTCTACCTGTAACTGTTCTGATTTGTGTCTTTGAAAGTGCTTTTGGTCCTGAAATTCCCTTGACATTTCAGATAAGTAAGGATCTCCTCCTTGTACAACTCATTGTGAGAGCAGGGAATGGAACGGGATAAAATGGAATGGAATGGAACAGAAGAGACCGGAATGGAACAGAACAGAATACAACAGAAAGCTATGCTATGTTATGCATATAGAAGCACAGAAGAGTTAGGTTTGGAAAGGACCTTAAGACCATCTAGTTCCAAACCCCCTACCATGGGCAGGGTCACCTCACACTAAACCATCTCACCCAAGGCTTCATCCAACCTGGCCTTGAACACTGCCAGGGATGGTGCATTCACAACCTCCCTGGGTAACCCCTTCCAGTCCCTCACCATCCTCACAGTAAAGAATTTCCTCTGTATATCCAAACTTCCCCTGTTTAGGGGGAAGTGTTCAAGGCCAGGTTGAACCAGGCTTTGATCAACTGGGTCTAGTGGAAGATGTCCCTGTCCATGGCAGAGAGATTGGAACTAGATTACCTTTAAGGTCCTTTCCAACCCTAACCAGTCTACGATTCTTTGATATATATCTCCCTCACATAAAATTAATGGAAATGTAGATACCTCAATATCCAAAACCTTTCACATAACCATAATGAGGAACTCAAAATGGCAAGTACATGAGTTAATACAGAGATATAGTTATAATCTTATTAGTGATTATTATATTTTTAAATGGAAAAAGTTTTTTAACAGTGAGCTTATAAATGTAAAACTACCTTTGAAGATCAAGTAATTCACCTAGTTCAGGCACCTTATTTCTTACATTGATGTCAATGCAAAAAACAATTACCCCTAACTTCTAAGAGGAAGTAGTCCAGTTCTACTATCTACAATTGCTTTTTATTAGATTTATAAGGGACAATAGTGGTTAAGAAAGTTTGCTTCACCTTTGTTCGATTTTTTGCATTATTTATTTGTTTTTCCTCCTAAATTTAAAAGTGGCTTTATTTAGTCATAAAGCAAATGTAGCATTGAACATATGGCAGTTGATATCAGCTGGAAAAAAATACAGTACTTCACAGCTATGTATATATTTCTGTACAAAAAGCATTAACAAATGCAGTTATGTCTAGTGGTTCTGGCATCTGCATATTATCTATATGTGAAGCTAAACACAGATCTTAATAAGGTACACCATCTTTGCAGCTGTGACATACTGAGAGAAGAAACAAAGTGTATATAAGACAACCGAGGGTTAAGATAGGAAAGACATAGCACTGATCATTTATCATATATATATTATAAAAAGTGGATACTAGGGCCCAGATTAAAAGTTTGTCTGGATGTTCTAGACAAAAATTTTAATGACTGCAAATGGGCAAGAGTTAAAGTGAATAAGATTGAAATCAAGGATGCTTTCCCCATACTTCTGACAGAAAACTTTCGCAACTAGAAAGTCAAAAAATCCAAATAATTAATATGCTGTTGTAAACCCTCCTTTGCTTTGAAATGACATGCCCAATTTTTAACTGGAATAGTCTTCCAGTTGTAAAATCACTCAGATTTTTTCCCCCCAGTCAGAATGCCACTGGCATTCACCAAGCACAGGACAGAAAATCAAAGTTTTTGTTCAAAATAATTCAGCTTTACTGTTTAAATGAGGACCAATGACCTTGAGATACAAGCCTGTATGCAAGAACCTCTTATCATTCAGAGCTCAGACATGATCTTGTCTCCCTGCAGTAATTTTTAAGCAATTGCGCTTAAGCTTAAATGCTTATGCCCTCTAGCCAGCCTTGGGCAGAAACCTACCATGAAGGTTTTACAGGAAGCAAAACAAAGAAACCTGAATCCTGTAGTACATAAATGTGTTTATTATAATTTTTCTTTAGCTATTTTTCAAGGACTCCACTGGGATGCAATGTTCTCCTTTTGTCTGTGCTATAGAAACAAAGAGTGAAATATTGGCCTGATCACTTCCTCTATGCACCCTATAATACTTGCACAGATTTCTTATGTCATCATGGTTGGGCAATATGTGTATGTGGCTGCTTTCAGAGACACTAAATTTGCGCATTGATGAGTCTTCTTCAGCAGAGGATTTTTTTGTTACTGTTCACACACACAAAGGGCTGTTCCTGGTACCACCTTAAGTCAACAAGAATATTAAATTTCTTTATTTCATCCTTTTCTGCCACAAACACCATGAAGTACCTGTTCCATGAAGGGGAGTTCTGCAGGTACTATTTTGGGGTGAAGGACTGTTGAGGGAGCTGGATTACATGTCACATCAGAGTGCCGCTCTGAAAGGATTCACCCTATTTCACTGAAGCAGAGAACATGGTCAGCTGCAGAGTTCTCCTGTTCTAATTTATACTAATTTATAAGTTAAAATAAAATTCAAATAGAATTAATTTATAAGAGATACCTTCCACAATTACTTTATGTATCACTCAAGGCTATAAGTGGATTTGCTCATTCTGAACACAGTCAGTTAAAACAAGTTTTGATATCTGAACCATATTATTATTGTAATAAAAATAAAGAAAAAAACCCAAACAAAAGGATCACTCTAGTAGAAGGTAAATAAAGCCCTTTTTCTTTTCCAACTCTGAAAGATTTTAATTTCAAATCTTGGCCAAGGACTTACAGTCCATATATTAAAGGTTAACCATTACTGATATCTGAAGAATAATTATTGATCTTGGAGCTGTATTGTTCCGAAAGGAGCTGAACACCAAAGAAAACACTAAGGTATTCTGAAGATATACAAAGAGTCAGATACTGCACTCATGATGTTTCATTTGAATACAGATTTCTTAGTAGCAGTGCTTAGTCTAAGCTGCAGTGAGTCCCTGGTTTTAACCCCAAATACTGCAGATGGGCTATATGCAACACTTGCCATTTCACACTCAATTTTCTTCCAGTAATTAATTTGAAGTCTGAAGTTTGTTCACTTACTTGGATTGCTGTGAAGAAGTTATAAATTTACCAAACTCTAGTCATACTTTATAAAGAAAAGAAAATTAGATCTGTCCTTTGTTACAACTGAAAAGCAGTAGCACAAAGATAAGAAACTAACAGAAAGTTTTGTTTTGCTCTTCCCTGTATTAACCTATTGTTTCCTTTTTTTTTCAAGGCAATTTCTGTTTGATGGAGTTCAAACCTAAGTTCAGCTTTAAACTGAATATTCTAATGCCATTCCAATACTGCTGGCACTTCTGGAAAGCAGCTCAGGTGGGTTTAAGCATAGCGTACTGTAAAAAGTAATTTGCCTTGCACCCTGCATAAAATCATGTATTGCTGGCCTCCACAAAAAAAAAAAAAACAACAAACACCAAAACTAAAACCCCAACTATTTATACAATAGATTTATTTATCTTTCCAATTTTTATTATACAGAGATACAGAAATACAAATTCTTCACTAAGGCAAGACTAACCCTCTGATGCACAGGTGAAAGAATATCATATTTGCAGACATGTACATTTCTCCCTTTCACTGTGAGATTTGAAGTTCCTCTACATTTGATTGCAAATATTCTTTTATCTAGTGTATCACTTTGAAACACCTTTTCTGTCACAAACACACTTTCTTTTTCCCACTGGTTCAGCAAGTCATGCTATTCCCCGGTTTTTATTAGAAACTATGTTTTTCAATACAACAGCTATAAAATTCAGAGAAGCTATTATTATCTGTCTATATTAGCTTGTCATTTTTGCTTTGAGGCTTGTTTCAGTACAAAATTGCATAGCATAGATTTTAAAGACAATAAATGTTCTAGTCTAATTTTTCAGGTCCTGTAGCTTAATGAGGTAGACAGATTATCACCTGATACAGCATCCTTAAATTTCATTAGCAATCTATGTCTGTTTTGCAATGAAAATGTGTAAATATATATTTCACTGTATTTCAAACCCAAAACCTTTGTTCAGATCAAGAAAACAATCAATAGGTCTCACCATATATTCACCATATTTACCATATATTCACATAATAGTCACCATATTTTCTTTGGTTTTGGTGTGTCTCAATAACTGAATACATAACTTTCAGTGTCAGAGCTCTGCAAAATTGAAAGTGTGAACTATGAAGATTTTCCACTCTCTTTTGTCTTCTGTGAGTTGAAAGTCTGAAAGCTGGTTTATGAGAGTTGATAATGGCTCCTTAGGAAAAGGAATTCTGAGTAGGCTGCAGACTGCAGGAAAGAAGCAAATGCAGTGAAAAAAATGGGGCCTTTAAAACTAGGTCATGAAAATAACCTACTTGCTGCTCCTAGTACACAGAATCAGCGCACTAGGGGGAAAATAAAAAGCAAAATAAAACAAACAAAAAAAAAAAAAAAGGAAACCCAAACAAATCTTGAGGTAGAGGCAGGAAGCTGAGAAGAGGGATTGTGCAGACTGATGGATGTACGTTTGAATTACCTGTTGGCATACCTATGAATAGATGAGTGTTAGTAGAAGAGATTCTGAAGAAACAAGAATAGACTCATAAAATCATACAGTCACAGAATCACAGCCTGGTTTGGGTTGGAAAGGACCTTAAATATCATCTACTTCTAAACACCTGCCATGGGCAGGGACACCTTCCACGAGACCCAGTTGATCAAAGCCCTGTTCAACCTGGCCTTCAATGCTTCCAAGGATGGGGCAGCCATAGCTTCTCTGATCAACCTGTGCCACTGCCTCATCAGCCTCATAGTGAGGAATCTTTTCCTAATATCTAATCTAAACCTCTTCAAATTTAAAGCCATTCCCTCTTGTCCTATCACTACATGTCCTTGTAAAAAGTCCCTCTTCAGATTTCTTGTAGGCTCCCTTTAGACACTGGAAGCTGCTCTGAGGTCTCTCTGGAGCTTTCTCTTCTCCAGGCTGAACAAGGCCACCTCTCTCAGCCTGTCTGCACAGGAGAGGTGCTCCAACTCTCTGATCATATTTGTGACCTTCCTCTGGACTCGCTTCAACAGGTCCAAGTCCTTCCTGTGTTGGGGACCACA